GGGCAACTTTGGGTTTAGAACAGGTCGCTCCTGTCTGTCTCAACTATTAGATCACTACGACAAGGTCCTAAATGCACTAGAAGACAAAAAGAATGCAGATGTAATATATACAGACTTTGCAAAAGCCTTCGACAAGTGTGACCATGGCGTAATAGCGCACAAAATGCGTGCTAAAGGAATAACAGGAAAAGTCGGTCGATGGATCTATAATTTCCTCACTAACAGAACACAGAGAGTAGTCGTCAACAGAGTAAAGTCCGAGGCAGCTACGGTGAAAAGCTCTGTTCCACAAGGCACAGTACTCGCTCCCATCTTGTTCCTCATCCTCATATCCGACATAGACAAGGATGTCAGCCACAGCACTGTGTCTTCCATTGCAGATGACACCCGAATCTGCATGACAGTGTCTTCCATTGCAGACACTGCAAGGCTCCAGGCGGACATCAACCAAATCTTTCAGTGGGCTGCAGAAAACATATGAAGTTCAACGATGAGAAAATTTCAATTACTCAGATATGGTAAACATGAGGAAATTAAATCTTCATCAGAGTACAAAACAAATTCTGGCCACAAAATAGAGCGAAACACCAACGTCAAAGACCTGGGAGTGATCATGTCGGAGGATCTCACCTTCAAGGACCATAACATTGTATCAATCGCATCTGCTAAAAAAAATGACAGGATGGATAATGAGAACCTTCAAAACTAGGGAGGCCAAACCCATGATGACACTCTTCAGGTCACTTGTTCTATCTAGGCTGGAGTATTGCTGCACAAATAACAGCACCTTTCAAGGCAGGTGAAATTGCCGACCTAGAAAATGTACAGAGAACTTTCACGGCGCGCATAACAGAGATAAAAACACCTCAATTACTGGGAGCGCTTGAGGTTCCTAAACCTGTATTCCCTGGAACGCAGGAGGGAGAGATACATGATTATATACACCTGGAAAATCCTAGAGGGACTAGTACCGAACTTACACACGAAAATCACTCACTACGAAAGCAAAAGACTTGGCAGACGATGCACCATCCCCCCAATGAAAAGCAGGGGTGTCACTAGCACGTTAAGAGACCATACAATAAGTGTCAGGGGCCCGAGACTGTTCAACTGCCTCCCAGCACACATAAGGGGGATTACCAACAGACCCCTGGCAGTCTTCAAGCTGGCACTGGACAAGCACCTAAAGTCAGTTCCTGATCAGCCGGGCTGTGGCTCGTACGTTGGTTTGCGTGCAGCCAGCAGCAACAGCCTGGTTAATCAGGCTCTGATCCACCAGGAGGCCTGGTCACAGACCGGGCCGCGGGGGCGTTGACCCCCGGAACTCTCTCCAGGTAAACTCCAGGTAAACATTCACTTGTTAGATGAAGAATGAGGGGAGACCTGATCGAACTGTATAAGTGGAAGATAGGTATTAATAAAGGGGATATTAATAAGGTCTTGAGGATGTCTCTCCAAGAGAGAACCCGCAGTAATGGATTTAAATTAGATAAGTTTAGATTTAGAAAGGACATAGGAAAGTAATGGTTTGGAAATAGGGTAGTTGATGAGTGGAACAGTCTACCTAGTTGGGTTACTGAGGCTGGGACTTTGGGTAGTTTCAAATTTAGGTTGGATAAGTACATGAGTGGGAGGGGTTGGATTTGAGTGGGACTTTCACATCAGAGCTTATTTCTTGGGTAGCATTGAAAATTGGGTTGGGCAAATGTTATGTTAGTGGGATGAATTGTAAAGGACTTGCCTAGTATGGGCCAACAGGGCTCCTGCAGTGTTCCTCCTTTCTTATGTTCTTATGTTCTTATAACTCATGTGTCAGAAAATAGGCTTCATAGTTCACATGTGTGATAATTTTGCATATTATATCTGTCTCTTGTGATCTTATGCATGTATAATAGTGTGCACAACCATATGGTTAGCGTCGGAATACATGGTATATACATTGGGGTGCAAGGCTGTCAGTGTAATACACTAAGAGTTTAATATCTCAGTTTTAGGGATTAAATCGTTCTTGACTGGTGTTGAACAGGTTGCTAACTCTCTTAATGACCCTTTTGTAGTCGATAGGCTTTAAACCCAATTGATCAGGTTAGGTTAGGTAAGGTTCGTCAGGAAACAGGACGCGGGTCTTAGATGATGACCTGCCGTTGGAGCGTTTGGTCACCTGACCGAGGCCTTCCGCTAGCTTACCGGTCTACCCCTTTAAAAATTAGTTATAATTATAACCATTTTTAGATATTGTTCCAATTGATCAAGAAGTGCCGAATTAGATCACGTGGAAGGCTCTAGATCGGTCCCACCACCTGATCCGTTCTCGGCATCAACAGTGATACTCCCGTAAATTATAACATTCCCGGAATTGGTCACACCTGTCTCTGTCCTTTTATTTTTCTTATTTGTAGTTACGTATACGTTTTTATTTATGTGTCACTCTCATACGTGTTTAGTGTTTTCGAATATAATAAAAATACTTTGTTATTGGTTTGTGTAACTTGTCCTACCCTAGGTTAACCTGGCCTAGCCTTACTAAATACTAACAGAATAGTATTTGTAAGTTTACAGGAATCGTTCAGATATTGACGTTGGTAATCAAGTAAGAAATTCAGCGTAGTATAATGAGTATTGATTGACGTGAGAAGTAGTGGGTAAGTCCTAGTGATATTGCCAAAGCCCTTATATCATAGTTTTACCGAGAATTTAGGAAATTAGTAATAGTCAAATATCATCCCGTGTAGCTCTAAATATTAAAAAATATAAACAGTTATCTTCTTTTCTCACCTTTCAAGTGGCCTCTTCTCATTTGTTCTTGGCGTCAGTACTCTCAATTTCGCTCCTGTTTCTGCTGTTTTTCCTCCCAAGCCCCCCATTGTCTCTCCTTTCCCTCCTTGTTTCTCCTCTTCCTTTCCCCATTACCTCCCATCTCCCTCTTGCATCCCACTTCTTTCTGCCACTTCATCACACTTACCCTACCCTTCATCTTTCTCCTCACCACTCTGTATCGCTCCCTTTTCCAAATGTTTATCTTATTTACGGTTCTCTGTGCAGTAGCTTTCCCGCGCTCAGTGACCCTCTCTTCTATTTTCTTCCTCCCTTCCCATGTATTACTCCATCTCTGCCTCCCTAAATTCATATCCTTGCCCCTCTCTGTCTTAACAGGAGCTTATTGATCTTTATCTACTTAAGTGAAGTCCTAAATGTTTTTTGCAGACATTCGTTAGTGTCCATTTTTTTGTGCACTGGCGTGAGTGTTTGTGTATAGTGGGAGTTAGTTTTATTTATTAAAGGGTTGAATCATAACCCCTGGCCCTGTCTCTTTACTATTGACTAGCCTCCACCACCTTTTTATCTAGTAATTAATTTGTTACATTTACTGTTATCTAGTAACCAGTTTGTACACTGCTACTGTTTTCTAGTAATTAATTTGTTCCAATTGCTACTCTGAAACTGGAAAAGTATTTCTTAATGATCCTTTACACAAATTTATCTTTAGCTGCCATCTATGTTCATTGGCTCCCTCTTGTTAATCTCAAACAACCACCTCTTTCCCAGTTCCTTGAGTATTTTTTGTCACGATCGTGTCCACTGTGGTTCTTGTCCCTTTTTAAGGAGTATTACGGAAATAAAACACAAATGCAGTATAATGTGATCCTTTATTGACTACGTTTCGCCCAAAACAGTGGGCTTTTTCAAGTCACAAACAGAACTACCTGGGGTGGAAGGAACGCGAGTATTTTTAGTCCCGGGTTTAGAATGCTGGGGTCAGGTGAAGAATGCTGCATCTGATGATGTACCGAGTGGGGTTATAGAGTCTAAAAATTGGGTACTTGGAAAGGAGATTGGATAAGTTTGTGAGCAGACCTTCAAACAGTGTTCTTATGTGGGATAGCGATAAGAAGTTTTTTTGGAAAGTGTTCAGCTATGTTATAGAAGCCACTATTCTGGTTGAAGTTGTCGGATATAGAAATAAGTGATGATTCCAGGATTCTTCGGTATTGAGTGTTGTCTTCTGTGGCGATAAGTCTTGAGTTTCTGTAGTTTATCAAGTGGTTGTGTGAATTACGGTGTTGTACGCAGGCATTCCTTGTGTCGTCAGACCTGCTTGCGTATTGGTGTTCTGAAATACGTGTTTGGAGGTCCCTTGATGTTTCGCCGCACGTATAACTTGTTGCAGTCATTACAAGGGATTATGTATACCCCTGCAGAGGATGGAGGCTTGTCCTGTCTACTACTGGTGATGTCCTTGATGGTCGTGGTTGTGGAGGTAGATACTTGGAATGATGTTTTGGCAAAGATGTTGGAAACATGTTTGGCAATGGAGTTGGTGGGAAGGACTATGTATCTCTTCTCGGCAGTGTCTTCTCTGGGTGTGTTGAAGATGTTTAATGCTCGCCGTCTGCAGTCTCTGATGAAGTGACGAGGATAGTGGAGTTTAGAAAATATTTGTTCAATTATAGTGCATTCTTCCTCAAGGAACTCGTTGCTGCAGATTCTGAGTGCACGCAGGAAGAAGCCTATAATTACACCACGTTTGGTTTTGGTGTCGTGGTGAGAGTAGAAGTGGAGAAGATCGTTTTGGTTGGTGGGACTATAAATACTCGCGTTCCTTCCACCCCAGGTAGTTCTGTTTGTGACTTGAAAAAGCCCACTGGGTGGGCGAAACGTAGTCAATAAAGGATCACATTATACTGCATTTGTGTTTATATTTCCATTGTGTCGGTATTTTATACCATTTATTTCCAAGGAGTATTACGTTGAGTTCCTTAAGTTCTGATACCACACTTTTCATCAAGTTTTGCATTCCCCTGAACCTTCAATATTTACTGATCACTAAGGTTACGTACCCTTCCCATCTGCATACTTGCGCATGGTTCTTAATTCGAGAAATTGGAACTGCCTTATCCTTGCTTGTATCAAACCTGATTACCTCTCATTCCCTAAGCTCTGTAGGACTTCAACGCGTTTGCTGTTTCTCCATGAATGTAAAATCTGATATTTTATTCCAGGGAAGTACGTGGGGTCGCGGCCGATCAAGCTTCGTAAGAGCACATGGAAGGACCGCAACGTTGACATGGTGCAGAAGAAGCAGAAGGAGAAGCAGCTGCTTGGCCTCAAGTAGACCCGCTCAGTGACCTCACAAATGATGTCCAGAATGTATCACCTTGACTTACATAATGATATGAGCGAGTTTTGGGGTGCCAGGCCACTCCAGGCACCATTGTCTTCATGAGAGTTATCTTACAGCCAGCGAGTACGACAGTATTGCTGCAGTCTCCCCTCGTTCTCAGAATGTGGTTGCTTTATGTTAAGTGTGTGTTTATAATATATATATATATATGGCATCCCACCAAACAGGGACTGAATAAAATTACCTAAAGTCATCCACACCTGGGTTTTCCCCTTGGGTAGGGATAAAACTCAATTTCCAGCTGGAGCCCTCTTGATGGATCGTATGGTCCAGTGGATTAGGGCATGCTTTAAAAACCCCACCAGGGGCAACCAAACAGCATGGATTCAGCCCTTGGCTAATGAAATGTTTTTTTATTTATATATATATATATAAAAATATAAATATATATAATATATATATAATATATAAATATATATATATTATTATATTATATATTATATAAATATATTCTGCCGAATAGGCAAACTTTTGCGATTTTTTTGGGCTTAAATACAAAGCTCATCTTGCCATATAGGACAAAAAAATTTTGTGTATGCAATAACTTCGCCAAAAACTCTGAACCAAAAGAAAAAAAATATTTTCACTGGGTTTATTTAGTATTAAATTATTGTAAACAAATCAAAATATATTTAATTGGGCTAGGCTAAATAAATTGTTCTTTTGTAAAAAGGTTAGGTAAGTTTTTCTAAATTCTTCTCGAAAAAATTAAAATTTTTTAATTAACATAATGAAAAAAATAAACTTTAAATGATATGAAAAATTTCAGAAAGGACTTGATTTTAAAGATTTTTTTTTCTAATTGACCATTTTACATATTTGGCACGACAGTATTATATATATATAATATAATATATATTTTTATATTAAAAATATAATATATATAATATAAATATATATATATATGTCGTGCCGAAAATGTAAAACTGTCAATTGCAAGAAATCTTTAAAATTAAGACCTTTTTAAAAATTTTTTCCCCTTGTACGTTTAAAGATATATTTTTTTCATTAGTGATAATGTAAAAAAAATTTTTTAATTTTCCCACCAAAAGGAACTTAAGAAAACTTACCTAACCTTATTAACAAAGAAAAAATTTATTTTAGCCTAAACCCAACAAAAATATATTTTAGATTTGTTTTACAATAATTTTAATACTAAGGCAAACAACGGTGAAATATATTTTTTTCTTTAGGTTCAGAAGATTTTGGCGAAATTATTGCATACACAAATTTTCACTTGTCCTATATGGCAAGATGAGCGTTGCTATTTAAGCCAAGATCGCAAGTTCTGCCTATTCGGCACGACATATATATATATATATATATAAATATATATAAAATATTATATATATATATATATATATATATATATATATATATATATATGCAATAAGATCACAGAAAACAGGGGATTTCAGAATAGCAAAACAACCACTGTGAAAGAATAGAGAAATTCCAAGCGCTTTCGTGACTACTCACATTATCAAGGAACTATGAAAGTAAAGCATCCAAGGAAGGTATATAAGGGTCTAGCCAACACCTCACTATCAGATCCCACAACGGTTAAACACCTGACACGCGCCGGCCCGACTGGACAGGTCCTTCGCACGACCCACCAACAAACTATTCTACCCAAGAAAATTTTAAAAATCATTATTTGTCCAGTGTATTATTAAATTCTTCCCAAATTCTATTAATTATAAATGGATCTAATTTATATAAACCAAAGGAAATATTCATATTATTGTCAAAACTACTTTTTATGGTCGACAGGAATATTATTGAATCTTGTTTCATAAAAAGTAGTTTTGACAATAATATGAATATTTCCTTTGGTTTATATAAATTAGATCCATTTAAAATTTAAATAGAATTTGGGAAGAATTTAATAATACACTGAACAAATAATATTTTTTTAAATTTTCTTGGGTAGAATAGTTTGTTGGTGGGTCGTGCGAAGGACCTGTCCAGTCGGGCCGGCGCGCGTCAGGTTTTTAAAACCGTTGTGGGATCTGATAGTGAGGTGTTGGCCAGACCCCTTATATACTTTCCTTGGATGCTTTACTTTCATAGTTCCTTGATAATGTGAGTAGTCACGAAAGTGCTTGGAATCTCTCTATTTCTTTCACAGTGGTTTTTTTTGCTTTATAATATATATATATATATATATATATATATTTTATATATATATATAAAATATATACAACACACACACACACACACATATCCGTCACTGTATTAAAAGTCGATAAATTATTAATGTTAATCACTCTGATATTGATCATTATTACCGTAACAATATCGATGGTAGGTTTGAGTGATAAATTCTTTGTAAGTACTTTGGTAATAAAGAGACGCAACCTTTATTTAATACTGAAGAAAAACATTGTTATTTACCCAGACTTTTTAGAGAAGTGGTTTGAGGCCGGAGAAGGATTCTTCACCCAACTGGAGTTACTTTAGATCAAACAAAAGATTACCTTCCACTACCCTGTGCGCTGTATGAACCTTACTGGTTTAGCGCTTCCCCGGGAATAATACAGTGATAGCTTCTCCTTAAAGGAGATACTACTTTTGTGATAGTGAGGGGCTCTTGATCGAAAGAACTGGACTCCTTAGATCGAACCTTTCATATCCTAGGCGCTATATGACTCCTACGGGTCTAACGCTTCCCCTTAACATAAAGTAATTAGTCCAAACTACCTATGAGATAACCAACAAAGTAACGTTTTTTATTTATGAGAAAATAGGGGGGGGGGATATTTTCTTTTAAGCTCCTGGTATACTCTGTAAGTGGTATAGCATTACTGTGAATAATAGGTTATGCATGAGGTCAAATTGAATACTAGGTTATGTATTGTATGAGAGACAAACTGAATACTAGGTAATGTTTGAGGGTCAGACTGAATACTAGGTTATGTTTGAGGGTCAGACTGAATACTAGGTTATGTATGAGGGTCAAACTAGGTTATGTAAGGGGGTCAAACTGAATACTAGGTTATGTATTAGATCAATCTGAGGTCAAACTGAATACAGATTATATCTGAGGATCAGACTTCGAATGTGGACAGAATACTAGTATCTTTATTAATGACAGAACACCAGTATCTTCATTAATGACAGTATTTACCAGTATCTTCTTTATTAATGACCGTATTTACCAGTATCTTCTTCATTAATGACAGCATTTACCAGTATCTTCTTTATTAATGACAATATTTACCAATATCTTCATTAATCAGTGAGTATTTACCAGTATCTTCATTAATGAGTATTTCGTGTCACTTACCTCTCCCAAGCTTACTGTTGAATGACTAAAGTTTCAGCATTTTTTTTTTTTTAATATAATCTTTCCCAAGTTTAATTCTGTCACTCAAAAACATTTAGCACTTTCTATAATTATAGTATTTTTTCCCCAAGCTTTAAACTTGACGCTTCCGTACGTAAGCTGTATATCATATTTTTTCGAGAAATTTTTAAATTACATTTGAATATATAATGCGCACTCCCTTCTGTGAAGAGCTCTTGGTCCAAGGAATTTGAGCTACCCTCCTCCCTCATCGGATCAAACCTCGTTATGTAACATTTTCCAAGCGCTGTGACCCCTAAGAGTTAAGTATCTCCCCAAGCATAAAAAAGTATGCATTATTGTCTTTTAATACACTCATGTTTTATGTTCCTACCGATGGCTCCCGTAGCCTAGCTGGCTGCAGGAGTAGCTCTTCCGTCTCATGATTAGCGGACGGTGGATCGAGCCTCAACCATTTCCTGCGCTAAATAACACCCACGGGTTTAGCGCATCGCATACAGAATCAGTTTATTCCTGCCTAACCACCCAAGGAAGCCTAGAGTCTCACTAGGCTTCCTGGGTAGATCAATCCTCCACACGTCACAGGCATAGATAAATAAAATACAGTTGGATATCGCTTATTGTATAAATGCTTCGCCTGCTCAACTAGCTTCTTCAGCTGAAATAGGGAGGTGAAGTGAATGCTGGAGACAACAGTAGCAGTGATTAATCCATCAGTCTTGAAGTTTTAAGGTGGTCAGTTCCTCAGTCTTGGTAAGTGTTCAGCTACATAGTTTCCATCAGCCTTGTCACAGGTAGGTAGCCACAATGTAAAGGTTGTTTGTTGTAGGAGCTTAATGCTTGCAAGATAATGGAGCCAAGTAATAATTATATTCAACGGAAACATCGGAGCGGTATGACCTGGATTTACACTTCGAAATAATTAGAAAAAAAGTGAGTGCAGTATAAATGGCCAATTTAGCTAAGTAGAGCTTTATTGCTTTACCACGACTGACTCCAACATTATTTCCTCTTGCCGTCAGGAATTAAGATTAACTGTTCAGTATGACCCATAACCGTTTGTTTTTATAAACGATAAGATTTAGACAAACCAAGAGCAGTGATCGCGTCTCACTAATATAATAACACAAGGTTCTTCAAGGAGTTGGGAGAGTTGGAAGACAAGTGCCTTGATGCTGGTGACAGCATCACCCTTACAAGTTTAGTGCTTCAGTTGTTTATATTGTTAATATCCATATTGTTGAAGCGCTTTTGATCAGTATTACACCTCTGCTGCACACAGCTTACGTTGTGCCATTGCTTACGTGCTGTTAAAGAAATCCAGATGTACCGCCATTAATTTTGACAAGTTCAATTTCATATGAGTTACATTTATCATTGAGCTAATATTCCATTTTGCACATTTTTAATGCTAGGAAATATTATTGAAATAAATTTTAATAAAGTAAGAAAGATAAATATAATTTTTTTGTTGAGTAATTCAAATTAAGAGCGAATAAAATGAGGGCAAATATTCAATTAAGTTTATTTTACATTGGGTGTTGGAGCAGTGACTCAGGGAGAGTGGCTGTATAGTCCTTGTGGCTTAGCGCTTCTTTTTGATTATAATAATAATAATAATCAGGGAGAGTGAGTGAGTGTAACACTCCAGTATGGTGGCCAGCAGGTGACGCTAACTATTGCTGTGTCTTATAATAACGGCGGCATACAAGTGTACAACTGTGGCCTGTGTTGACAAGGTCTGCAACTCTTCAATACCTTTAAAGAGTTTCTCTACTCTGATCCCGGCCATGGGCCAGGCTCGTCTGGCGCTTGCCTGGGCAACCAGGCTGTTGCTGAATGAAAGTTCAGACATG